TCTTTCTTTCTTTCTGTCTTTCTTTCTTTCTGTCTTTCTTTCTTTCTTTCTGTCTTTCTTTCTTTCTGTCTTTCTATCCGCATCCCCATCCCTCACGCTCTTGCTCTCGCGGTCCTTGTCCCTCTTCCCCATCCTGTCTCTCTGTCCGTGTCCCTCTCTCTCTGTCTCTCTCTCTCTCTCTGTCCACGTCTCTGTACACCTCCTTCTCTCCCTCTCTCTCTCTCTCTCTCTCTCTTTCTGTCTGTGTTCCCATCTCTCCTGCTCATTTCCAAAGCACTCACCCCTGAAAGAATTCAGGGGAGAGAAGTGGCTAGAGGCAGGGTCAGTGAATATGGTGGGAAGTATGGTGAGCGGGATCAATGGGGTTTGGATTAGGTGGGGCAGGGAGAAATGTTAATTTGGCAGCATTAGGGATTTGGCAACAGGATGTGGGTGATCTGGAGTATTTCTAAACAGAATCAGTGGGAAGCTGGAGATTTGGGGAATGGGCTGGTGGGAGGTGCAGTGAGCCAGAGTAGTAGTGAGCAGGAGCTAAGAAGAAAGAATTAACATATCCCTTTGACATTTTCAAGTTTATTTCATTTTATACGTCATTTCATTTACTGATATTGAATTTAGCAAAATATTTTAATTTGGAAGGTATAATGTTTTATTATTTTTTCCTGACAAGAGGCCTAACAAAACCCAGCTGCAACTTTTACAATGGCGAAATCTGATTTACGTGAAATTATTTTGCTTAAAGTTTTCAAGAATGCAGCTACAACTTTAGTTAGAACTTGGTATATCCAGAAGAGCAGAATGAAACAGTATGAACATTAGTGACCTCCAAAGTAATTGACCACATGATCTGAATTTTATTTCTTTCTTGTTTTGATTGTGAAAATTCACCTGTCACAGAGACCAGTCTGCAGTCAGGAAAAGCAAACACAAGTTGGTCAAGATGAACCAAAGTCAAAACGAAAGAGACTGGCAAGTGAGGAAGAGAATGGAAGTGGCGAAATAGTTGAAAAGGACCATGGTATGTACATAATTATTTTTATTGGTTATCAATGACAAAGCTGGCATGAGAGTCAAATCAACAATCATTTCTTTATGCCACTACAAAGTGTCTGTGGTTGGTATTCAAATCCAAACAATTGCTAAAAGAGAAACCCAGGAATGGGGTATAGGCCTGTATATTTTAAAATTGGTAGCAAACTTGTGTGAGTTGATTGGAATGCTGTTGATGAATGGCTTGTAATTGGTCTAATCTTAGTTATTCATTCAACTTATACTGCTTCATGCTTGCTTTTCTCCATCATATAGTCAGAAATAGGATGTTTGCTGATGTCTGCACCATGTACCTCCCTCAGGGCATTGTGGGTCAACCTACAGCACATGAACTGCAGCAGTTCAAGAAGGCAGCTCACCACCACCTTCAAGGGCGATTCGGGAAGGGCAATAAATGTTGGCCCAGCCAACAATGCCCAAGTATCATGAATAAATAAAAGGAAAGTGGTATTTGCAACTCATTAGAAAATGAAGCATTCCTCATCCAGATGCAGCAAGATCAAGACAATATTCAGCCTGGGGCTGTTTATGAACATTTCTAACGAGGGAATTTAACTACATTTCTTTGCTGTTCAGTCAAATTACTATCACCAGATCTTGCACCATCACTATCCTGGGGGTTGCCATTAACTAACCCACGCAGAATGGGGAGAATGTGCAAACTCCACACAGACAGTCACCCAAGGGTGGAATTGAACCAGAGACCCTAGCGCTGTGAGGCAGAATGCTAACCACTGAGCCTCTGTGCCGCCTGCAAGTTTCACCTCCAAGCCACATTCTCCCTGATCTGAAACTTGTCTTGCTGTTCCTTTTACTGTCGTTGGTCAAAATCCTGGAACTCGCTCTCTAACAACATAATGTAACATCCTTTGCCACAGGCTGCTGTAGATCAAGATGGTGGCTCACCATCACCTTCTCAAGGATAGTAAATGCTGGCGTTGTTACTCTGCCCTGATCTTGTGAATTATCTTTTGATTAATTCAGTGTCAAATCCATTTCATTTATTTTTGTTTTTGTCTCGCTTGTTAATTGTCTAAATCAGTAATGGCTAAACAGCACATGTCCCAATAACGCTTCATAATCTGAATATGTATGTACTTTACAACTAATAAAATAAATTTTCTTGGGTCTATATCCAGGCACTGGATTTCCATGCTGCAGTAAATATTGGAATATTCAGTTAATGGAGTGCTTGCTTGGAAGGGACCTGAGTTACCTTCATTTAATTGATGAAGATTTTGGTGGCTTCTTTCATTGATGTCCACTCCAAGGTGCTTGATGCTCTGAAATTTGCTGCAGTCCAGGCAATTCATTGCACCTAGTGACAGGAAAATCTCTCCTTCAAATTCCCGCTCAGATCTAGAAAGCTTCAGCCTTCCCAGCAGCACTTCTGCTCCTCACTGTGTCCAGGATGATAGCCTTTGAGAGAAGAATTGTCCATTGCTTACTTGTGTAAGCAATCATGTTATTCTCATGAAATTTGATTTTTAATAATTTGCATACAGAAACATTGAATTGATGTATGGTGTAAGTCAGAAACACACCTGTTTCCATTCTTTCAATGCTCTTGCTCTTCTGTATTTGTGCCCATCTTTTCCCTTCCACCCAGAACTTTCATTGTTTCGAAATCAAACTCCGAAGCTAATTTTGCAGAACTTCAGAACTGTGAAACTGTGCATCTCGCAAAGTTTTGACTCCATTCTCCAATCTTTGGGTCAAAGTTGCCACCACCTAATCACAAATTAGTGACGAAAATTGTTTTCTGCTCTTTCAAGCTTGTTGATGTACTCTAACCCTTCAAATTAGCTTCGAAATTTAAAAGCTACCCTTCCAGTTACGAGTTATCCATTTGAGTTTTGGATAAATGCATCACGCTTTTGGGGAGGTCTAACAATGCAAGGAATTACACTATAAATGGAAGGACCCTGGAATAACTGAAGATCAGAGGGACCTCGATGTGCATATCCACAGATTACTGAAGATAGCAGGGCAGGTATATACACTTGTTTAGAAGATAGTTAAGAAGGATACTTTCCTTTATGAGCCGAGTCATAGAATGCGAGAGCAAGAGGGTTATTCTGGAGCTGTATAAAATACGGTCAAGGTACAGCTAGAGTATTGCATGCAATTCTGATCACTGCATTAATGGAAAGACTTATTGCATTCGAGAGGATGCAGAGGAGATTTACCAGGCTGCTGCCTAGACTGGAGGGGCTGAGATATGAGGAAAGATTGGATAGGCTGGGGTTGTTTACATTTGAGCCGCAAAGATTGAGAGGGGACCTGATGGAAGTGTATAAAGTTGAGGCGCGTAGATAGGAAGGCACTTTTCCTATTAGTAGCGGTGTCAGTAATCAGGGGCTTAGAACATAGAACATAGAACATTACAGTGCAGTACAGGCCCTTCGCCCCTCGATGTTGCGCCGACCTGTGAAACCAACCTGAAGTCCATCTAACCTAAACTATTCCATTATCATCCATATGTTTATCCAATGACCATTTAAATGCCCTTAAAGTTGGCGAGTCTACTACTTTTGCAGGCAGGGCATTCCACGCCCTTACTACTCTCTGAGTAAAGAACCTACCTCTGACATCTGTCCTATATCTATCACCCCTCAGTTTAAAGCTATGTCCCCTCGTGCTAGCCACCACCATCCTAGGAAAAAGGCTCCCACTGTCCACCCTATCTAATCCTCTGATCATCTTGTATGTCTCTATTAAGTCACCTCTTAACCTTCTTCTCTCTAACGAAAACAGCCTCAAGTCCCTCAGCCTTTCCTCATAAGACCTTAGATTTATGGAAGGAGATAGAAAGCTACAAGAGGAGTTGAAGAGAAATATTTTCACCTAGAGGGTGATGGGAGTCTGGAACTCACTGCCTGAAAGAATGGCTGAATCAGAAACCTTAGGAAACACTTAAGCAGTGTTTAGATATTAATTTGCATTGTCATAGCCACCAGGGCTATGGGCCGAGAGCTGGAAAATGAAAATGTAGGCCGGTCTTTATCGACTAGCATGGCTGTGATGGACTGCTGGCTACCTCCTGAGCTGTAAATGTCTATGAGGCACAAGTCTACAGCAAGGCTTTTCATAATCCTTCAAATTGAATCCTGATCGCCTGTCCAATCTACATTTGCTTCAATATGTAAAGTTTCTCTTTGCACTAAATAAGTATGTGACAATTTTCAAGTGATAAAAGATCATTCATCCCACAAATTCAATCCATCTTCAGTCTTTGATTATTTCATGATGGATATTCCACCCACAGTGCTTCTGGACTAAACATGCATGTCCTTTTCAAATTTCCACACAATAGAACGCTATTGTCAAATGTTTGAGAGAAAAAATGTTTCGTATATAACTTAGATTTTGTTTTACACTTTATGTGAGGCTTTTTTAAAGCTCTGGTTATATACATTATTTCTTGGAGGCCTTAAGTTTTGAAGGATTGTGTAAATATTGATTTTTTTTTTTAAATTTCAAGTTTTTTGGAAATATCTAGAATGGTTTCTTCAAAGAGTTGTTGCTGAATTATCATTTTAGGCTTTGGCAATTTTTTTTAAACAAGGCTAACTCGAAATCACGTGATTGGTGATAATTGCTTGTTCTGCTGTAGACCCCTGTTAGGGCTATTTGAACAGTGACTGGGTGGAGAATATTTAGTGTCTGGAATTGGTTAGGGTCAAGAAGCCTGTAAGGAAGGGCTGCCCAAAACATCTCCTATTTTCTGAAAAGACGCCTCTGTTGAATTAAAATAGTTAATGCACAAAATTCTCAATGTTGTCTTTTCTGAGTGAGCTCTGTCTGCTGAGACGCATAGATAACCATACAGAGTTAGTGACTTGACGACACGTGCCAGAGCATCAGAATGACAGATTTGGGAACGTTCTAGTCATCATTCTTTTTGCCTTCAGAATAGTCCTTTGGTCCAGCCTTTTTTTTTTTTTTTTGCAGAGAAACAATCTCTGGAGAGAAAAATCCATTTTATTTCTTTTTTTTTGTATTTGTTGTTGTTGTTGTGTGAGTGTGTGTTTGTGTGTGTACCCCTCAGCCTCAGTTGTAAAAACAAAGCTGTCATTTTGTTTAATTCATGGAATTCATTTATTTTCTCTTCCAAAGATCAGCCAACAGCACGTATCCATGCCATTGTATCTTCATCTACCATGGATAGACTAAAGGGATTTTCAATTGATAGTCAGCAAGAACCATCAGTTACTAAAGGCCCGGGTGTGGATATCCAATTCAAAAGATTCAAAGATGCAGAAAATTGTGATCTAAACTCTGACAATATTTGCACAGAACTGGATGACCTTGTTCATCCCAAAGATGCAGACAGAGACGGATTGTATAAGGTAGGTTAGCACCTTTCAAGGCTCAGTTTCAATCATTTGTCCAAGCATTGGAGTTTTACAAAAAAGTTAAATCTTTACGTACTCTTAGAAAATGTCCTACTGAAAGCTTTAACAATTTCAAGTTCGAGTAACAGAGTTCTTTCTTCTTCATTTTCCTGACTTTGACTATCCTGCTCTACCAGGTGCTCCTCAAGAATTTCCTTTATGTTTCAGTTCTACTGCTGCTTAGTTTCCTCAGGCTGTTTAAACTCCCTCTGAAAAATATTCATTTCAAGTTGTCTACTTGAAATTTGGCTGTGAAGATTTAAGAGCAATCCTGAAATGATATTTTCTGTTCTGACAGTGTCGCTCTCGAGAAGTTCTAGGTCTGGATTTGCGACAATGTTCAGCTCCAAACAAGGGAAACAGTGTGAAGAGCCCTTTCGAAACGGGCATTGTCAACCGGAGGACAAAAAGCACATACACTCCACTAGAACTACAATATCTGGAGATCAAAGACCAACACAAGGATGCAGTGCTGTGTGTGGAGTGTGGATACAAATATAGGTTTTTTGGTGAAGATGCTGAGGTAGGTCACAATAACTGGAGACTTTGATTTAGAAGCAATGAACAGAGCTTGTAGTCTTATTTCTCAAAACTTCAAATATTTGAGATGTGCAGTGCATTGAGGGTCCATTTATACTTCTGGTATTCATTCTGGCCTGAGTTTCAGTTGTCTAGACACTATTTTTATTGCCCTATTCTGAATGGCATTCTTCTGTAGATTCTCCCAATGCTTACTTCCATGGAGAATCAACCTGTTATGAAGATGCTTCATGTTTAACATCTCTTGGAGGGCTTCGGTTTTGAAGGATTGGGCAAAATTGATTCATTTCAACCTTTGTGGAAACAACTGAAGTGGTTTATTTTAAGAGGTCATTACGAGGTCACCATGGACGTTGGAGATTTTTAAAAAATGGGGCTGCCTAGAAATCACATGATAGCCACTCGCTTTGTGCTAGACCCTTGCTAGGCCTGTTTTGAACAGAGATTGGCTTGGAGATCTGGAGTTAGTTAGGGTCAAAAAGCTTGCAAGGAATGGATGTTCTGCTGATCTCTCTCTATTTCTAAAAGAAGTATTTTGGTTGAAGTCAGGGTGAAATCTGTTTGTTCCTTTGAGATAGTGATTGGAGGAACTTCTTAACATTGTACTTCCTGAATGAGCTGTGTATGCTAATTCTGCCGAGACAAGCGTACATGATTATTGACTTGTCACCCTAGATTGACGCACTTTAGAAAGTTCAATGCCTTTCTGTTTTAAGTCATAATCACCTTTGGCCAGAAAGTGTTTTTCTTTCCAAAGTGAATCTCTGCAGACAGAAATCTGTTTTCTTTTTCTCTCTCTGTCTTCTGAAATGTGTTTGCCTCTGTGTTTTGGGGATATTTGAAGTGATGGGCATTTATACTTTTATTACTTTGTATGTGAATGACTTGTTGCATCTTCATTGAGTAAGTTTTGTTTTGTTAAACCAATAACTGTTTATTAAGGAACCTGGTTGATGGATCTTGTAGTTCAAATATTTTATTTATATTTAGGTTTTAATCAGTTATTTTCATTACAGGATAAAGTAATTTTATTCTATGTTATGACTTGTGGGTAGTGGGACTAGAGCAATAATACAGTCCTCCTCCAGTTTAGGTTTAGAATCACATGGTATTGTTTTGATTGAAGTGGCATATTGCTATGTGCTTTTAGTGATTTTGTGCCTTTCTCTCAATTCAAATCAGCCCTAACTCTACACCATGCAGCAGCTTTAGCCTCACCAACTTTGTAAACATCCAGAGACCTCTGGTGAGGTGTCAATTTTAGGTACAGAAACCAATGTAACTATAAATTTCAATCTACATTTTTAATGTCACACTCAGCATCGTCGATCAGCAGTTTACTGCTGTTATTGCTCCAGTGCGTGTTCCTATAATGGTGCTACATGTGTGCATCTCAAATCCTCATTTAGCTTCTTGGTTTAGGATTCAGAGTAATTTTAAACTCAAACGTTTACACAGTTTCTCGCTCCACAGATGTCGCTGGGCCAGCTGAATTTTCCAGCACTTTGGTTGTACTGGCTTAACCTCGTTCAGAGGGAAGATGTTAGAAGCTATTATTAAAGATATTATGGCAGAGCACTTAAATTAGTTCAGAGTAATCAGGCAGAGTCAATGTAGTTTGTGAAAGAGGAATCATGTTTAACCAATTCATTAGAATTGCTTGAGGAAGTAATGTGCTTTGGATAAAGGATAACCGATATGAGGAGAATTGGATTTCCAGTAGGCATTTAATAAGTGCCACATCAAAGGTTATTGTGGAAATTAAAAGCATATGGTGTAGGTGTTGATGCATTGGCATGGAAAGAAGATTGGCTTTCTAACAGGAAGCAGAAAGTAGGAATAAAAAAGGCCATTGTCCAGTTGCCAAGATGTAACAGCGCTGGCACCTCCACTTTTTAGCATTTATGTGAGATAACATGGATGAAGGCAGTGAAGGTATGGTAGCTAAATTTGCTGATGACACAAATAAAGGTAGAAAATTTAATTGTGAGGAAGATATGAGGTTTGCTATAGAGGTTTTTGACTCAAGATCTGGCAAATGGAATACAATGTGGGAAACATGAAATTTGTTCATTTTTTCTGGAACAATAAAAGAAAATGTATTATCTAAATGCTAAGAGTTTGTAGAACTCTAAGATGCCAAGCTCTGAGTGTCTTAATGCGTGATTCACAAAAGATTAGTATGTAGGTGCAACGAAAAATGAGGAAAGCTAATACGATAGAATTGTTTGTCGTGAGGGAAATTGACTAAAAAAGTAAGGAGGCTCTGCTTTTGTTATAGTGTGTTGTTGAGACCACATTTGAAGTACTGCCTACAGTGTTGATATCTTTGTTTTGTGAAGAAATGAAAATGCATTGGAAGCAGATCAGGGAAGGTTTGCTAGATTAGCACCTGGAATAGGTAGATTGTCCTACAAGGGAAAGTTGGACAGGATAGGCTTGTATCCACTGAAGTTTAGAAGAGTAAGTGATGTCTTGATTGAAACGTAGCAGACCTTGAGGGGTGTTAACAGGGTACATGTGGAAAAATTGTTTTCGATTCTGGGCGAATCTGAAATGACCGTGCAGTGTCACTGTAGGATGATAGTGTTAAAGGCTGCTGGAAGGCTGAGAAAGACATGGAGTTATGATTTACACTGCCACAGGTACGTGTAATCTATGGGAGTGTCTATTCTGGCAAGCTTCAAAAGTTGGTACAATTTGAAGTGAAGCTTTTCCACACTTTTTATACCATAAATATATGCTCTATTATTTGCTTACTAGCGGTGTGCCAAATGTGCCTGACTGCATCTGCTTTAGCAAATAACTTAATCGTAGTGAAGAGACGTCGAACACACGTACTGTAAAAAATCAATTCCTTGACTATATTCAGAATGGTTCATTCATTACCATAATGGGGTAAGTTGTTCTTCTATAGGTGAGTCAGAGGAATGATTAATTCTTGTTGAGTAAATGTTTGACAATTACAGGGGACAAACAAGGTGTGAAATAATGCTGCTCTTCCTAGTATGGATTTGGGGAGAGGGCTCACGTAACTGCACTTAGTGATGTGTGAATGCAGAAGGAACTTCTGTGGTAAGGGCAGCAGACTTGGGCTCCAGCAAGACGCCTCTGAGTTGCAAACCATTTGGACTTGTAAGCAGCGATCAGAATGCATGGGGTGGCCTGTTGACTTGTCCCTGAAGTCACAAAAATGCCTGGGTAAAGGACCATGGGGACCATTAGGGAAAAGTCATCCCATCATAGAATGGACAGATTCTCAGGAGCTTCACTTTCAGTCACAGGCTGGTTCTCTCTTGCACTGGATGTTGCTAAGTTCATTATGCATCCATCAGCAGCAAACATTGAACCAGAAACTGGGCAAAGGAAAATGAATGAGTGAATTACTAGGTGTTGCTGAGGCAGGGAAGCTATGGCCAGGGGATGCCTTTTGCTGGGGGTGCCAAAGCCAGGGAGTCATCTGTTGTGAGTCACTTCAGTCCTGTTTTAGGAGGGTTTAAGGCATCTGTCAGAATGAGAAAGAGGCTTCAAGGAAAAAAGAACTGCAAGGAAGTTAGGTGGAAGAAAGAGCTGTGGAGGCAGAGAGGGGAAAGAAGGAGGCTGCACGTGCAATGGATATGTATTAGTTTTGACCTCATTGGTCTGCAGTAGGTTTGTTTAGGATGATAATATTTTTTGTGTGTAGAAGTATGTGTTATTTATTGTGAAGAAGTGATTTTTTTAATACTAACTTATGCCTATTTTGTGCCAAGTTAAGTACTGTGATGTATTAAAAAAAATCACATTTTCCTTGCGCATTGTCACAGAAAGTATTGAGGCCAAGAAATTGAACGTTTTTAAGAAGGAGTTAGTTATAGTTCTTGGGGCTAAAAGGATTAAAGGGTATGGGGAGAAAGTGGGAACAGTGTACTGGAACTCTTCTCTGAACACTTTTATACCGCAATGATTCAAGGAGATGGCTTACCACAACCTTCTCAAATTGGAGATGGACAGTAGATACTGTCCTTGCCAATGATGCTCACATCTGCAATTGAATAAAAAGAAACGGTGTATCAGTTGAAAGGTGTTATTTTCATTCCTGTATATGGTATGCTAATAGGTGCTGGTACGGTCTTGCACGAAAGAAAAATACAAGTCTGGAACTGTCAGTGTGGTCATGAAACTAATTACATCCCTCTCCCATGTTCCCTCAAATATCTCCAATTCTTCTGCCAAGTTTTCCTCCCATGACAAGTTGTTCCATATGTCTGTTACTTTGTTTCTGGTACTTCATTGGGTTTTCAGGATTTATTCACACAATGACTTCATGCATGTGTTTTCAGATTGCAGCTCGAGAGCTGAATATTTACTGTCACCCAGACCATAACTTCATGACTGCCAGCATACCAGTTCACCGTCTTTTTGTTCATGTCCGTCGGCTAGTCGCTAAAGGATACAAGGTATGTTTGCCGAGTTCTGACTATTTTCCTTCTCTTCCTGGTGGAAGGGTGGAGAAGAATTAGTAAAATTTTAACCTGTTTTTTTTCCGTGCGCTCACCATCCTTGGAAGCACAAAGTGACGGTGATTAGCAATATGTTATAACTTGCTGCTGGGAGGGACTAAGCTTGGGAGGAATGTAAACGTTTTTGCTCATAAATTTTCTTGCTCCCCTTTGTCATGTGGAATTGTCCAGGATTCCATTTACCATTTTCAAATGATGCAGCTGTCTTTGCAGTTTTAGGAATCTTAGATATCAGCTTTGCAATACGTTAAAAATCCAATGTGCAATAACTCAAGGCAGAATCAGGAGGGTGAGATTTTTATGTTGTTTCTCCCCCCCCCCACTGCGCACACACACGCGCACTCCGCACACACATGCACACACAGAAAAATTAACTCTGCATTGATACCTACGAGCCCTTTCACAAGAAGGGTGGAGGGGAAGGATGATGATGATATCTGTTAAGATCAATCATTGGCCCTTGTCAACATCTATCTACCTTCTACCTAGTGCCTAAGAGTCGCATGGAGTGCTGTCTTGGGTATGCAGCTTGGTCCTGAGCTCAACTCCCTGTTTCAAATCTATGCATCTTGCCTCACACTCACTCATTGTATAACCAAGACCACTTTCTTCCAAATCCACAGCATTGCCCTACTTTGTACCTTTCCACCCTACTCCCATTGAAACTGTAATCCATATTTCCATTTGGCTTCCTCCCACTTCTTTTGAAAGAAAAATGGACTTGCCTTTCTATAGCACCTGTCATGACCAAGGTATATTACAATCAATGAGGTACATTTGCAGTGCAGTTGCTGTTGAAATGTAAGAGATAAGGTGACTGATTTGTTCTTGTGAATAATGACTATCACTTGTTTTTTGTGATCTTAATTGATTGATACATTGGCCAGGAGCACCCCTGCTTTTGAAATAATACCATCAGATTTTTTGGCATCTAGCTCAAGAGCCTTACTTTAACACCTCAGCCAGAAGATGGCAGTGTTGGCTGTGCAATACTCCTTTAAAGACGACAAGGTGCAGGGCTGGATGAACACAGCAGGTCAAGCAGCATCATAGGAGCAGAGAGGCTGACGTTTCGGGCCTAGACCCTTCATCAGAAAAGGGAGAGGGGAGGGGGGTTCTGAAATAAATAGGGAGAGAGTGGCAGGCGGATAGAAGATGGATAGAGGAGAGGATAGGTGGAGAGGAAACAAACGGGTCGAAGAGGCGGGGATGGGGCCAGTAAAGGTGAGTGTAGGTGGGGAGTTAGGGAGGGGATAGGTCAGTCCAGGGAGGACGGACAGGTCAAGGGGGTGGGATGAGGTTAGTCGGTAGGAGATGGAGGT